CCCCCAAGATCAAAGGCCCAACGTAGATATCCCCATTAGTCCGCTACTGTTATATACTTCAATTTCAAACCGACTTCAAAAAGAAGGTTCTCAACTCCGTTGTATGTTTATTTTTTTATGTTTGTTACCTCATAACTCCGTCAGTTCTAAACCGATTTGCAAAATCATTTTTTATATGAAAGGATATACTTACAGATTGGTCTCATAGAAATTTTATCAAAATATATTCAGCAGTTTAATTTTTAAATCAAAATAACTGGTTTTGTCACAATTGAAGTCGGTTTTTTTATGAGACACAAAATTTAATTATATTTATTTATGCGGGTAGTGACGTAATATAAAAACTGCTGATGCTTATTGTTAATACTAGAAATTGGAATTTATTGAAAACACAAAAAAAAAATCTAATATTATGAGAGTGCATTGTGTTTTACTTACAAACCTTAACATGCATTAAACATTTTTTAATATTTACAAATCACAGTCATAGTTATGGAAATTCTCTATGGTTTACACCCTGTAAGGCTTTTATTAATTTAGCTACAGAATGCAGTATGTTTTTAATACGCATAATTAATTTTATTCCGAATTTGAACTTCAAGTCAATTATTTACTCAATTCCACAAAAAAACTAAACGTAAAAATTGAATACGGAAGTCTATCGATTGAAAAATAAAATAAGTACATATATAACAGTCTTAAACACTGATCTTCGGGCCAACCACTATCATGATTAATGTGCTAAAAATTAAAACTGTTCATAACTTTTGCTTACCAAAGTGAGGCAACATCATCTTTATCTACCAATTTCCAAAAACAATGGAACCATTTTTAATATTTCTAATTAATTATTATATAAAACCTTATTCATACAATACGTTGCATATAAACCTACTACTAAAAACTTTGCTTTTCTGTTTTCAAATACGTTTTCGCCATCAAAATCAAAAATTCCTGTAGCAGATTAATAAAAATTTAATCACTTTTTGAACAATTAATTAGAAACATTGAAAAATGTTCAATTGAATGAATGAGGATTAGAAACAATGGATACAATTCTGGGATTTTTAATAGATAAAAATGGAATGACAACCCCGCCTAAGTGTTGGTATTTGGCTAGCAGAATAGGTATACCGATGAAGCATTTTAGGCAAGGATGAAGTCAGTTTAGTTGGCCTATCATGACAAATTCAACAGGGATTAACCACAGTAATTTCTAGGGGGGCCGATGGAGGTCGACCTGATAGAGCACATTACCATCAATGGCGCCACTAGTCCCCATCGCTAACAATCCCTTCGTTCTTTGATTATTACCTTCAGTAAACAAATCAAGTCATTGTGGTTTTCAAAATATAAGACACAAATTACGAAAATAGTATACCTACAAATTGGCGGCTAATCAGAAACCTCAACGGAAGGACTTACAACAAAATTATCCGACATTATACGAATGTTTATACACAGATGTTGCGGTTGATCCTTTGATCCCAAAATGTGCGGTTCGTAATAGTGTAATAGCACTCCCAAATTGGACCAGTAGTCGTCCGATTGTCGCGGACATCTCATTTCCTTTTTATAATGGATTTATTAAAAGAAATACGTTACTTTGTCCCCAAAATGGGCTGTAGACGAACGCACGCGATGTCTCTGTTTAATTATTTAAATAATAGACATCGTGCTCATGCAATATTTTTTCGTAACAACTAAATAATAACGAAACTTTGTGGACCTCTGAGCACAGTGATGAAATGAACGGAAGTTTTTTTTTTTTTTTATGTCACTAAGGTGTTACATAAAAAGACTTATTTCTTTCCTTACTTCGAGTTCATTTCTTCGTCATGCCCATTCGTAAATAGAACTGGATGTTTCTGGATGTTTACTAGTGCAAGTAACCTCGCCTGCGCTATTTATTTATTTTTCACCACAAGCAATTAAGAATTTACTATCTACGTATAACTTGCAGAGCATTTTAACAATATTATTTGTGGACGCTATTGCTTGTATTGGGGTTAAACCTGTATTATAAGTCACCAGGACCCTTACTTCGAATATCATCATCGGTATACACTGGCGAGGAATAAACTGAGAGATGATGGGTAAGAATGAAAGCAAGTCAATTAGACCAACCTGATGAATTCCATGGGAATTAGCCACGGTTTCTAGCGGGAACCGCGTGGAAGTCAACTTGATAGAGTATATTGTTAGCCATAGGGCTGTTAGTCCTCATTACTAACAGTCCTTTTTCACCAGAACTCGATGTTCGAGTCTGTAAACAATAAAAGCCTTCAAAAAGGAACAGGTTCGCAATTCGCCTGTAAATTTTGGCATATTAGGATATATAGTCACGAGTTTTAATACGATTATGATAATTTCATTGCAGTTCATATTATTTACTCTTTTATTAATGGAATACTATTATTTTGAAGTAATTTTGCAAAATAATTAATGTTTATAGTTAAACACACTGTTCTTATTTATATATTTATTGATTTTTAAAGTTACAAGATACCATTTTTCTTTTCTTTGCAATTATCAGACACAACCAGAGAGCATCGCTCTATATGCATCAAATATAAACTAATAAAATTTCCATATTAAAAAATGTGTGGATTGCTTTCTCAACAAATACTTAATAGGTAGTTGATAGAAGTCGCTATTCTTTTTTTTTTTTTTTTTGAAAAAAATTATTTATCTACACTACACTTAAGTGCCAGAATTAAAACGTGCAAAAATAGATTGAATAGCAGGCATAGATAGGTATCTATTTAATCATTACATTTGTGAAATCTGTTAAATATTTCTGATAGCTATTGTTACCTAACTAATCACTATATTTTGTAACAAGTAAAAATATTTCCTTTTAAATACGTTACATGCCGTTACGATATACACAAAAAAATTTAACAGCTCCGTTTTCGGTCGCCGGCTACGGAGCCCTAAAAGACAACACGCATGCTTATCTTCGTTAATTCTGCTAATAATAATGTGCCAGAAACACGCAATTACTTATTACCTATTCCATGTTACGGTTACAAAAGGCCAGGACAAACTATGGGATGAAGCAATTTGTGGTAATCAAGACAATGATACATTTTATCGCTATTACTGCTCCTTCTTTGTCGGCGTCGACGGAGTGAATTTTACTACTCTCAAACTTGTGGGGTCTATTTCTTACTAATTGGGAGAAAATTACTATTATGTCATTACATTGGAACCACCTGTCTGAAAACAACTGTAATTAGACACGCCAGCTGTTAAAGGAATATCGACTCTTTACGTTGGTGATAGGGATTATTGGAAGCTGCACTTACGATCGATCATTTAATTAAATTTGGAGACCGATCAAATTAAAGTTGTTCTGTTTAAATACTTTTAGGTATTTATATATCTTTATAAAAATAAGTGCATACAACGAACAATTATGTAAGTAGTTACGTAAAATAATTTATAATTTGGCCCCACTAACCCGAGAGTTGAATTGAATAAACTAGCGATTTCTAAAATGGGTTCGCAGAATTTAGTGGATCCGTAGAATTCCCCAGACTTGCCTGAAATTATTTATTTTTGGTTGTAAAGAAATTAATACTAAAACCTAGCCTGAAAAAGGATTCTTTTTTTTTTGTTTTTATTTAGTGTATTTAATCTATATTCGTGTGATATGGGGTTCCATAGAATATTTGATAAGTGCATTGTTATTTTAGAAAGTTAGAAACCTCTGGTGTACACCATATCAATTGTAAAAAGTGAAATCAAAATCGCTTCACAATTCGCGAACTTATCGCGTAACTTACATACAAAATAAATGGGAAGGTATTAATGCCATATATACGCTAATTTGAGAATTTCCTTTTTTTAAAGTCGCTTAAAAATATGTTGCATTAATTAAGTACCTATTATTTTTTGTCTTTTTTTTTTTATGGGTATTTTCACCCATCAAAAAAACTATATATGGTATACTAACCCTGCCTCCGCTAACGGGATACGCTGGCGAAGCACCAGTGAAGGGTGATAGATGAGAATGAAAACAGGCCAGTTAACCCATCATAATGAATTCATCAGGAATTAACCATGATAGTTTCCAGGGTGAACCGCGAGGAGGTTGACCTGGTTGGGTATATTGCTAGCAATGGGATTCTCAGTCTCCATTACTAACAATCCCTTTCCCCCTTTTGTCTTTATTCAAAATTACTAATATTAATAAAAATACATGCACACACCCAATGTATGTACATTGTTCACTAAATATATAATAAAAATTTTACCAGATGGAGACTTTGTACAAAAGTCGATTGCTTGGGTACCTCTGTTCCATTCGTGTTTCTACCGTGAAGCAGTTGTGTTTGCATAGCTGTTTCGGTTTGAAGGGTGGAATATGGCGTCAATTTACAGAGTACAGAGTAATAACACCTGAGTCCTCAGGAATGGCAACGCATGGAGAGTATCATGGGTGAAAAAGTATACTCTGTTATGTCCATGGTACTGCTCATGTCTATAGGCGACGGTTACCATTTTCCATCAGGTGAACCGTCAGCTTGTTTGCCATTCTAAGTTGTATAAAAAAATCAATACATATAATAAAATCGTACATGGTCGCTGTCTGTACATGGAAGATATATAAGAAAAACTACTGTGGGGGAGGGGGGGGGGGGGGTTATAAGAAATAGAACCCAAAACAATGATTTTTAGAGTTTTTGTCTGTTTGTCTATAAGTTTGTGTACACTAATCTCAGAAACGGCTTAACCAATTTGAGTGCAGTTTTCACTAATGCGTTACGGTCTGCTAAATTTAACATTTCATGTTTGTTTTTTTTTTTCAATCGGTTCATAAATAAAAAAGTTATATCAATCTAAAGAATCACATATAAAATAAACGATCAATTGAATTCGCTGAAATTTTTTTATTACATGATTTTTTTATATGAATTGATTTTCAAAAATTTTATATACTCGTCGGGGGAAGCCGGGTCGATATCGCTAGTTACAAAATAAAAATACAACTGTTACATCTCATACAAGTATTTATTACAAATATTCAAATCCCTTAGGTACTTTGCTTTGACTCCTTCGCGTTTTGGAGTGCTTGCGTTAAATACAATTTAGCGAGACTCTGGGAACAAAATTGGCTTATATGTTGGCTGTACGTATTGATTTGACCAGCTACGATCATGGGGTTCAGCCTGGGTGGTACCGGGTGGGGTTTGAAGAGTTTGTTGACATCCTCTTCAGGTAGCGGTGGCTCGTCCTTGGCGGCTCTCGCCGCGTTCTCCTGAGCTCGCTTGACCAGCCAACGGTGTTTGTCTTGCTGTTGGCGGACGACAAGCTGCTGGTACCGGTTGAACTTGATAGCTTCTTGATTGAGCTCATCGACGCGCTCCATTAGGCTGCGGAGTTGGCCTGGAGAAAACATAACGAAATGAAATAGTTTCGACAACATTTGCAAGACCAAGTATTACCACCGTCTGTCAACCTCATTACTAGCAAGTAGCCTTATAGGTTAACCTTTATGTGGTGTGGTATTAATTATTGTTTATAAGATGGGCATCTTGACAAATTAAACAACAACTGACTTGCACATTTCCACCTACCATCCCTTACTGACACTTGATCAGTGTATACCGATAGCATTAGCAGGATTATTGTTTTATATTCATCCATTAAAAATTTTAAATTAAAAAAAGATATAGTGCATTCAATAAATAAAGCCTTTAACTCCATTCTCAAATGAGCTAAAAAAAAGAAATAAAATCAAATTTGATTAGAGTTGTGCTAACAGATACTTAAATCAATAAATTTACTATTTTGGCATATAAATGTTTTAATTTTTTTAACTCACTATGATACCTTTCTCAAAAGTAAACTGGTAGAGAATATGACAGGTATAACTTTAAAAGCATCCTGTAGTGTCCTAAAGTAGGTAATATGGAAAAAGTGACAAAGCAAATGACATCTGGCTAGAGTGATTTTGTGCTTCTAAAATATGTGTTTCAATGAGTATAATAATAAAAGTTAAAATTTACTAAAGATTTAGATTAAACTAGACAAAATAATTTGACTAAAAATTACCAATATTCTGTCAGCCAACTTTATTATTAAAACTAACCTTCAAGCACAGACGCTGTGCCAAGATCTAAGAACTTGGAACCCTCCTCCTCAGGTATCATCTCCGACAGCTCTGACATCATGATGTTTGTCAACGGTGAGTTTCGGATCACGATTGGCACCTCAATAAACAAACTCTCGTAGCCAATCTTCAAGTTTCGCAGCGCCTCCGGTGTGTAATCACCATCTTTATACATTGCTATCGCCTGTGTGGTATATCAATAATTCAATGTGTCAGAGTTTTTCTAGAACCACCTTCACTGTTATAACTTTTTATGGAAAAAGCTATTATTATGTAGGGTACTAACATATAACCGATCATCAATTGTAATAAGCCATTCTCAATAAAAAAACATGATTAATTTGTGTTATTCCTTATTTGATATATAATATTGGCGACGAGTATAAAAATTAATGTGATTACATATGTACAAACATGCAAGCTATTAAGTTCCACGAGTACCAACCCGGAAATGAAGATTTTAGCCACTACATAGATAGGCTAAATTTTTGCTTCGTGGCAAATGGAATCATCGACGAAAATGTGAAACTTGCCAATTTCTATACAATTTGTGGTGCAGAAGTGTTTGAAACAGTGTTAGCTTTGATAATACCACGAAAATCACATGAAGTTACTTTTACCTACGTTATTGACTTATTGACAAAACATTATACTCCTAAGTCTAATGAGATTACAATGTCATACAAGTTTTATAATCGTAACCAAAAAGAAGACGAAAAAGCACTAGACTACTTAACAGAATTGCGAAAAATAGCTGCACATTGTAATTTTAGTAACTTGAACGCAATCTTCGTGATCGTTTAGTATGTGGTATGCGAGATGAGAAACTAAAATTTGAGTTATTAAAACGAGACACCCTAACATATAAAGAAGTGGTGGACAGTATAACAGCAGCAGAAACAGCTCATCGTGATATCAGCATAATGCGTGCAGCACAGCATACATCGAGTATGTCCAGTTCATCATCAGAGCCAATGGATATTGGTGCTATACGTGATAAAAACAATACTAATATTAAATTTAGATTTTGCTATAGATGTGGCGAAAAACATAATGGCATATGCAGATATATTAATGCTAAATGTAATTTTTGCCAGAAAATTGGTCATTTAGAGAAAATTTGTACTCAGAAACGTAAAAATCAAAACATTCGGTACACAACCGATAAAGATTCCAATATTCCGGGCAGTGATTCACTTAATGGTATATATTGTATGAATAACATCAATAATCTACAGAGAATACCACCTGTACAGGTCGATGTAATATTGAATGGTTATAAGACAAAAATGGAAATTGATTCCGGTGCATCTTATTCAATAATAAATATGACAACATTTTATAAATTGCCTAAATACTTAAAAAACAGGTTACAGCCAATGATATTAAGATTATCGACATGGACAAATGCATCATTAGATTTACTTGGGCAATTAGATGTTGATGTGAAGTACAAAAACAGCCAATGTCAGTTAACAGTTATTGTGGCAAAAGGAAAAGGACCAAATTTGTTGGGACGGAACTGGTTCGGACCTCTAAATATTTCTATAAATAATATAAATTTAATAGAATATGAGGGCATATCGTGTGAAGAAGTATTAATTAAATATAAGAATATTTTTTCAAACGGTCTAGGGATATACAAAGGAGAACCTGTAACCATACATTTGATTCCAGAAGCTGTACCTAAATTTATTAAAGCAAGACCGGTGCCATATGCTTTGAGAGGTCGTGTCGAACAAGAAATAGATAATTTAGTACAAGAAGGTGTTTTGAAATCCGTGCCATATTCTGAATGGGCGACACCTGTAGTACCTATTGTAAAAAAAGAAATTCGGTTGTGTGGTGATTATCGCAGTACAGTAAATCAAGCTACAGAATCTGATACATATCCGATGCCGACTGCTAATGAAATTTTTGCACTATTAGCCGGAGGTCGATTCTTTACAACGTTAGATTTAGAACGTGCGTATACACAATTGCCAGTGGACGAACAGACGGCAAAGTTATTGACATTAAATACAACTAAAGGATTATTTTCCGTACATAGATTAGCGTTTGGAGTTAAAGCTAGCCCAGGTATATTCAAAGGGCCATGACAGCATTGCTTGCGGATATTCCTGGAGTAGCCGTTCTCCTGGATGATATTATTATAATGGGCCATACACTGGATGAGATGAAATGGCGCCTCGATGCAGTTCTGCATCGTCTGGATGACAAAGGTTTAAAACTTAATCAAGAAAAGTGTAAGTTTGCAAGAACACGAGTTGAGTTCTTGGGATTTGTAATAGATGCGGAGGGTATACACCCATCAAAAAGAAAGATCGAGGCAATAATAAACACGCCACCTCCAAGGAATGTGCAACAGCTTCAAGCGTTTCTTGGCTTATATAATTTTTATGAACGCTTTGTACCTCATAAAGCAACAGTTTTGGAGCCTCTACATAGATTATTAGACAAGAAAAATAAATGGAAATGGAATAATGAGGAACAACAGTCTTTTAATACAGCAAAGAGCTTACTTACAAATGATGTCAGTCTTACACACTATGATACAAAGAAAAAACTCATTTTAACTTGTGATTCATCAGAGTATGGGATAGGGGCTGTACTAGCACATGTTATGGACAATGGTGAAGAGAAACCAGTAGCAATGGGGTCAAGAACCCTCCATCCACATGAAAGACGATATTCTCAATTGGATAAAGAAGCTACAGCAATTTTATTTGGCATTCAAAAATTTAACAACTATTTGTTGGGGAGAAGATTTACAATTATAACAGACCATAAGCCATTACTGGGTATATTTGGAACCAATAAAAAAATACCAGACATTCTATCACCGAGATTGACTCGCATATGTTTGACTTTATCTGCACATGATTATGAAATTTGTTACAAGCGTGGTAAAGAAATCACTAATGCAGATGGACTTAGTCGATGGCCAATGCCTATATCGCCTAAAGATATTGATAGCCCTGGAGAGATTCTCTTAATAGCCGAAACACCACATGATTTACCCTTTGGGCCAAGAGATATCGAGAAGGCAACTACTGAGGATGAAATACTAAAAAAAGTAAAATGGTTCATTTTGAAAGGATGGCCAGTTCGAGTCACTGATAAGAGATTGCATACTTATTGGTTGCATCGTGTGGAGTTAAGTTTACAAGATGGCTGTATTTTATTGGGAAATCGTGTAATTTTACCTAATCTACTGAAAGAAAGTATGTTAAAGATATTACATCAAACTCATAGTGGTATGGTACACACTAAAGCGCTAGCTCGCAGCTATGTTTGGTGGCCACAGATGGACAGTGATATAGAGACGATGCTTAATAATTGTAAAATATTAGAAAATAGGAACATGCCTATGAAGTCATCACATGAATGGATTATCCCGGCTTAATGGTCACGTATTCATATTGACTTTGCAGGACCATTCCAAAATAAAGTGTTTTTAATTGTAGTAGATCTACTCAAAATGGCCAGAGGTTCACATAGTAAATTCTACTACCTCTAGCAATGTTATAAAACATTTACGATACATTTTTGCGCAACATGGTCTATGTGAAACACTGGTTTCAGATAATGGTTTAGCCTTTGTGTCAAAGGAATTTGAAGACTTTTTAGCTTAAAAAATTAGCATATCAGGACAACCATACCATTTTAATGGCCATTGAAAGAATGGTTCAAACATTAAAGAATAAATTAAAAAAGATGACAGAGGTTTTAAATAAAATTACCTAGAATTTTGCTGACCTTACGTAGTACACCTTGTACATTTAAGAGGAGCCCAGCAGAATTGTTAATGAATAGAGAGCTCTCTACTAGATACTATCATCCTAATATGAACAATTACAGGAAGACAGAAGAACAGATAGTAGATAATGCAAATAAAAAGCATCGTGAAACTCAAGTAGGAAAGAAAGTGATGTACAGAAATTATGCAGAAGGAGGGAAATGGAAACCCGGTGTAATACATGAAAAAGAGGGACCTTCTAGCTATAGAATAGAAACAGAAGATGGGGAATATATGCATAGACATATAGATCAATTGATAAAGCTTAAGGAAACTGAAACAGAAAACTTAAAAACTACAGAAAATGAAATACAAGACAATACTGTAGATCAGTTGACTAGTGAAAGATTAGATGAAGAACCAGATTTGGATATATCTCAAGACCAGGATATAATTGAGATAATGACCAATCGACATGTTAGGAATACCAACAACATCTAATGTAGGAAAAATCAGAAACAAAAGTACATTTGAGACGTCCATATGAAAAAATGTAAAATTTGACTTAATAAGATCTAGATATACATGTAGGAATTATATTTGTTTTATGTATTATTAATATTAAGCTTGAGGGAAAGGTATGTGGTATATCAATAATTCAATGTGTCAGAGTTTTTCTAGAACCACCTTCACTGTTATAACTTTTTATGGAAAAAGCTATTATTATGTAGGGTACTAACATATAACCGATCATCAATTGTAATAAGCCATTCTCAATAAAAAAACATGATTAATTTGTGTTATTCCTTATTTGATATATAATAGCCTGCAATTATTTTTATAAACCAACTTTTAGGCGACAGTATTTAATTTTCATATAAGATGGACGACAATCAGTTGGTTGACCAAAGATGCATAAAAATGCCAATTATAAGCATTAAATGTATGGAACATATTAAACAATAATCACATTCGAGGCTCATGAGGTGGCTCATTCTATATCCTGTAATCCCAGCATAGAATGGACACATTCTTTTTTTTTTGGATGGTAGAGGCAATTGATAATGGTCGAAAAATGGTCATTAATAAAAATTACAAAGCCTAAACAGTGGACCCAAGCGTGTGAACTACTGGTACGAACGGAAGCTACCTCCAAAAGATTACAATAGTAAACTTATTATAAATATAAATAATTACAAGAAATAATCACAATGAGAAAACAATGGGCGACCTTATCGCTAATATCGGATATCAGGATACTTTGTTTCAACAAACTTATATCCAGATAAACCAGTCAGATTTGAAAATTTCTTTTTGGACATGATAATAAGTTACCATGAATGACCAAGGATAAAGTCACAGACGGCTAGAATCTGTTTTTAATAAAGTAACAAATGAATGGTAAGACGATAAGCCTTTAATGTAAGAAAACCTCTAGCGGACTTCTTGGTGTCATAAATAACCACAACACTCTCTTCTATGGATGTCTGATAATGATATTGAGACTCAAGAAGAGATTGGCTCAGGAAGTTTCCTACATCTGCACTCTGATACCTGAAAAAATTAAATAAATATGAAGTTCGTTACTAATTTTATAATTTTTATAAGTACATCATACACACTTTATTTTAATGTAGGCTTAACATTAATTATGGACCTGTAACTAGCAGAAGATTCTCAACTAAAAAACATGCAAGTTAATCTAGTTGACCTTATATTAAAATTTATTTACAAATATCATAAAGGTGAAAGTGAGTATGATTGCCTCTTAGCACCTTTATTGGCTAAATCAATCACTATTCCATATAATAATTTATATACATGTATTATATGGAATGGAAAAAGACATTAGGTAGTTTTTATCAGACTTGCAGATAAAGTCGCAGGCAAAACTTGTTTGTTTATACAAAAATTAAAACATCATTATTAAATTTCTGCAATTATTAAAAAAAATAGAATGAAGAATGAATATCTCATTCTATGTAGGAGCAAAAATCAAATTCAGTATTGTAACAGAAGTTTTGGATTTAATTCTCATGTCAGGCCAAAACAATTAAGCTTTCTAAAATGGAATTAGTCTAGAGTATTTTGGGTTTTGTAGCACTTATTTAGTAAACCAATTATGATGAATGTGTGATATATAGTATGTGATATAGAAAAGGAACAACCAATCTTTATAACTTTATAAATCTTATGAGGAAAGTAAATGAGAATAATATAGAATGGAATAAACACATACCATCCAACATGAAAATGATCAACATTGACCCTGCGCAGTCTCCTCATCATATCCAGTTGGTACTCCTCTTCATCCATAGTGTCATCATGCTTGGGAAATGGGAAACAGTTGGTGATCTCAAGTCGGTTTTCCACAACCAGCCCTAGTAGGGCACCCTGGGCCACCTCCATGTTGCTGCATGACTCTTCATGGCAGTGCTTCACTATTTTCATCACCGCCTGTAATAGGTAATATATAAAAAATACATTTACATAAAACTCAGCTATAAAAAAGTATACATGTAAATTTATCAGAATATAAAATTAGGTCATATTAGTGAGAGTAAGCAAGTTAAAAAATATTGCTATTTTCATTTTTTTTTTTATAAAATTTTTTGTTTTCCTTTCACCTTATAAATATTACTTATTAATATTAAAAAGATCACACTGAGATGATGAAATATAATAAGAAATAATATTAATATTTTCAGTAATTTAAAGCAATGTCAGTGGATGCTCTTAGGGGTCATTTAATTTCAATACATACTGCTAGCAACATGTTTGTGTTAAAAAATATAGCAAAAATTAAATATAAATATATAACAAGTTGTTTGTTGGTCAAATGACTTGTTACATATTATATATTCTCTTCTCTTCAAATAAAGAAGAATTTGGGAATTAAATAATAAAATTTGTTAATAGAAACATCAGAGGAAGGATAATAGAAAATAAGCTAAACGCTTGTAACAAAATTTTTTTCTAACATAATACCAATATTTTCATAAATAATATCTATATTTTTATTTTTATTGTTGACTTATTACAGTCTAATCACAGTTTGTGAAAGTAAAATATTTCACAGCCAAATAAACTGACATCATCTGTAAATATAAATACACTGTTGAGGTCAAACAAGAGATAGGTATGTCCTAAAACAGTGACTCACTATCAGCTTTTTTTATACAAATATTACTATAGATACCTACATGTCACAGATCTTTGAATTAAATGCATGCCCAAAAAATAAACATGACTCATATACACTATCATTGTTCCTTGACAATATTGGGCTATTGGTTATTCTTTTATATAACACTACAATTCTGTATCGAATAATAATTATGATTTTTTTAATCCCACTGTAAGTACCGCTATGAGTATACAAATAACCTAACCTCATTTTGATAAATTGATGAAACCAATTGAAAAGTAACTGTCCGTCAACAATTCATTAAATAAAAATATTAGCGCTTATATATGAGCACTAATCAGGTATATAATAGCAAAAAGTTGAAAATCACTGAAAAACATGACGTGTCTGGCTGATGTACCATAAAAAAGGCCTATCGAACAAATGTAAAATGTTATCAATTTAAGCAGGCTTCATTTAAGAAAATACTAATACGTACCAATCCATCACATTGTACATAGGTAATAGCAGCATCATTTTCAGGAACGCGTCTAGCTGAACCACCTCGACTCGCCATTTTTATAACACGAAAGAGATAATAAAGAAAAAATATTTAAATTTTGGATGAAGGCGACATTTCTATGACTTTGACAATTCAATTAACATAACATGATAGATTTGTCTGTGGATTTGTCTATAACAACCACAGACAAAGACGATTTTTTTTCTTCAATCGCAATTGATCTTGAATTTTACCATCACTTTTGCTAGCATCAGTTAAGAGGCTCATAAAAGTCTTGCATAACTTTCATACTTTTTTTTAATGGTTGATAATGGAATGGTAGCCTTGCCTGCGCTATTGATATACACTGGCGGGGCACCAGTGAGAGATGATAGATGAACATGAGAGCAAGTCAGTTAGCCCATCATAACAAAAACATCTGGTGGAAACTGCGTGGAGGTCGACCTGACAACCCCCAACTTCAATACTAGCTTTTAATATATGGATTTTGTCAAGAAACATGCCAACGTTTAGTTAAATGAAAAGGTCACAATAGTGCCAACTTATAATAAAAATACGATGCAAATGGTTGCTATCTATTTGTGGAATTATTTGTGGAACAGTTTTAGCTTTGTATTTCATAGGTATATCTTTTTATTTTGAAGTTAACTCTAGAAATTGACCAGATATTACGGGAAGTTTTGAAAACTCGGAGTTATTATGATATTATGACATTGAGATCTAAAAATAATACTGTATAAAATAATAAATATATTTAAAAATGTTATCTTTTGTTTTATTTTTGCTAAAAAAATGTTCATCGGAACATGCAATTTGACATGAAATTTATATATTTCTTTTATCACATGATTTGCATTTCTATTGATAGTAACTACAACTTATTCGTTCCATTAGGGATATTCGATATACAACGATATATCGAAATCACTTGATGGTTGCTATACAATACGTCGAATTGATTTAATGTTTTCAAAAGCTGTTGATATGGGTATTCGATTTATAAATATATTTTTATAAGACATTGAAACGATGATAACTAGTTAATTTTATAAAAACCAAATTTAATCTCTAAACCATTACCAAAAAAAATTTTTTAAATACATATTTCTATTTGTTTTAAAATGTTTATTTTTACAATATACATAATAGTAGACAATTTTCTATTACAACATATACACCTTAATAGTAGTAACGTATACACCGTAAAGATTTTACTATTATAATTACTTTATTATCACAAATATTCCCACTTTTTCTCGTGTTATTATTTATTTTTCTAATTATCTTTTACGAAATATTTTAATGTAACTATTATTATTTTGTTGTAATTAAAAAAAAACGATCAAAAGTACTTTGAATATGACTGACTCAAACAAAGACACGGAAGTCAGTCACACTCAGAGTACCTTTTCTTGATTTGATATACAACTAAAACATTACTTCAGTCTCTGTTATCTGTATCAATTCAATAAATAAATAGTTTGCTAGTTATTTTTAATTTCATTTCATATTTTAGTATTTTCTTTCAGTTCAACTATAGTAATAATATATAGTTATAATAATATTGTGTAAATATCGTCTGAGATAAATTCATTCTTGCAATTTATTTACAGTGCAACATGACAGTGTATTGTATTATTGATCAAAAAATTCAATTGATTATCTACTGTCAATGAATTTTTGACTATATTTATTTAGTAAATAATGAGTCGACATATGTTTTGGAGAGGATTAACACCATTAGAAGTCTGTTCCTCGCAAACAGTACCTGATAAAATTGTCAAGTTATGTTCCTTAGGCGCTGATTTTATTGTTCTGGGAAGTGACCATGGTCTGTATCACTGTGACATTGAAGAAGATCGCTTAGAGTTCAGGAAAATTGGTGGTATCTCAGCTATAGACATATCATACTACAATGATATTGTATACATTATTGATGTGCATGGCCGCTTATACAAAACAAATTCCAGTTTTAAAAATAAGGAAGAAATTGTGGTCAAAGAAGATGCAAAATGCTGTCCTCATGGCTTTAAAAGCTCTAGTTTTAAAGTGAAATTCAGAAATGTGGTGACAAGTGATTTTGGTCAACTTTTCATAAGCAGCGATGGTCAACTGTGGGGTTCAGGTGCAATGCCCCAAATAGCTTTAGATACAACTAGTATTAAGAAAGTGCCATTTTTTGAAGGTAGAACTGTTTATAGTGCATCTGTAGGACAGAATTTTGCTGCTGTTATAGCTAGAAAAAATGTGAAACGATCAGGCAATTATGATACAGAAAGTGATAATGATGATGAGGAAGTATTTGCATCTAATTGCTCACAATGTCAGACAATAATAGGCCTAGCTTCCCCTGCATCTGTGCCGTCCCTTTCCGAAACCTGCCCTCTTGGAGTCCAAATCAGTAAGTCTAGTGAAGACTCCAGTAGTACAACAGCTCCACAAACAGATGTCCATGTGGATGCCCATAGTTTTACAGAAGATTCTAGTCCCTCATCTGAGGAATCAAAAATTGCTAAATATAATATAGCCCAAAGAAATCCTAATATAGAAACAGATCATAGTCAACAAGATGTGAAAGTCTCAGAGGATGATACTGAAAGTCCAGAAATTGTTACTGACACACCTCATGAAAGTACAGAAAAAATCAATAACATATTCATAAATACAGATGCTGCAAGACAATTTCTAAGTAGACAGTTATCTTGGGTGTCAGCTGGTGAAGATTATTTAGTAGAATATACCGAGAAACCTACAAGAATAATTAAAGAGAATGTCTCTAATCTCACAAATTTTGTTTATGAAGGAGTGAAGACAGTAGGCGACAAAGTTGCAACTTTATCTAGACATGTCAGTGGTAGTAGTGACAATAATGAAGTTGTGGAACTTCAAATAAGAAATTACAATGAAGAAATCAATTCTCTAATGTATAGCTGTACATCTAATTGCAATTTTGATGACCTTCAATTCTCTACAAGTACAATTAGCAGTGAAAAAGAATTTGAAGCAGGTAGAAAGAATGAAAATATTAAGAACATGGCAAAACTTGGTAAGAATATTTTGGCAACAGAATTGTGGACTTGGGGAGACATATCATATGGCCAATTAGGCATAGGTGATACAGTAAAACGAATCAAACCTATGGTTGTCATGAGTCTATCTGGCTTTGGACTACAAAAAGTATCATGTGGTAAATGGCATTGCTCAGCGCTAACATTAGATGGTCGACTATTTGCATGGGGTTATAACCATTACCACCAAGTGAGTTTTGACTCTAGAGAAGATAAAAGTGGTCCTAAACAGTTTACTGAAAATTCTGACAGTGATCGTGTAAGAGACATGATAGCTACTGACCATCACACTCTTGCATATACACACAATGAAAATATTTTTTATATGGGTAAACATACAAATGGATTTACTGAATGCATAGTTAATTTAAATAATAAAGCGGACAAAGAAGTTACTGAAGATGATAATTTGGCTGTGAAGATTACTGAGCCCCAAAATGTTGCAAATAAACCCCAAAATATGTGTTATCATTGGAGGATATTGTCATCAGGTAACATTAGCTATTGTTCTCTGGAAGACATCCAATGTCCAGAATTTCAAGATCTGTCCATTGCTCAAAGATATTTGGAAGAAATGCTTTTGATATATCATTCTCTTATCAAACCTTTTCTAAAGAAAAGTAAAGTTGTGAACTTACATTCCATTATATATGAAACTGTTTGTGATATATTTGGTGACATTTTGAACATAACTGCTCTGAATGTGCTCTCCATGTGGCAATATGCAGAGAAGCACATAATTGAATGTGATATTTCTTTGATAAAAAATTTAGAAGAATATATTTATTTGTACAGAAAGTATTATGTAGCTGTAAGCAATTTAATTGTTATTGGTGGTTTCTCACAGATCAATAGTATAGTTGATGTACCATCAAGTATTTATAATTTGTTCAGTGATCAGCTCCCATCGAACAAACAAAAGAACAATAAGAAGACTTTAGAAGCAATTGTGGCTTTGGCATTTGTACAGCCACTAACAAGATTAAGTTCCTACAAATGCATAGCTCAATCTATCCTGAGATACAAAACAAAGAGAAAAAAAGGCGATGTGAAAGCAGCTATTGAGGAAAGATTAACCAAGGTTATATCATCATTAGACTCATTAATTGAAGAGCAAGAAAAGAAGCGAAAGGAAGCAGACATAACTAAACTATTTTGGGAGACAACAGGCAAGTCTCTGGAACAATATAGAACACCAGAACGTCGCCTTGTTAGAGAGTCCAAGTCACGGCCACTAAATTTGGTGAATCCAGGACGATTTTCATCCCACTGGTTCGTTCTATTCAATGATTTGTTTATCCACGTCAATGGAAGTACTCCTAATTTGCACCCATTAGAAACCGTGTGGATAGAATCAGTATCAAATACTGAGTCATTATTGAACGTCATTCAACTTACGACACCAGAAGAAGTGATATCACTTTCAACAAGTTCAGAACACGAGAAAACAGAATGGCTTCATGCTTTTAATACGAGTATACGTACAAAACTAAACAAGGATCCAACTTTTAAACCGCCATCAATTAGATCAGCAGATTATACGTTTTCTAGTAAAATTCCATTTTATAAAGATTCTAAATATTCAGGAAGATGGTTAGATGGGAAAACTCATGGAAATGGAAGACTTGAATGGCCTGATGGAAAGCTCTATGTGGGACAATTCCAACTGAACGCTTTATGTGGTCATGGCAAAATGGAAATACCAACAGTAGGTAAATAGATTACGTATAAGCTTTCTATACTTACTATTCTTTAAGAGTTTAATAATAAAATATACCTACTAATAATGATTCATATTACCTACTCAAAAGATAACCCAGCCTGCGCTGGGGGAAAGTATTCGGTCTGCCAGTGTCATTGCTAGCAATATACTCTGTCATGTTGACTTCTGTGTAATCCCCCTGAAAACCATCGTGCTAAATCCAAGGTGTATTCATTACAAAGAGCTAACTGACCTGCCTTTTCATTCTCGCTTGTCATCTCTCACTAGTGCCCCGCCAGCGTATACCGTTAGCGCGGGCAGGGTAGCCGTTACATTATAATCCATTAAAAAAAAAACAACATGCGCTTTTAATTTACACTGGTGGAGTACCAGTAAATGATAATAGATGAGGATGAGTCAGTCAGTATCGTAGACTAATTATTGACATGACAAGGTTTATTAATAATAATATACAGTATCAAGTGGACAACCGTGCAGTCACCCTAGAAACTATCATTGTGTCTGATGAGTTTGTCCGATTGAACGAACCGATTGGTCTCATTTCATCTTCACCCATCATCTCTCCCTAATATTCCGCCAATATAAACCAATAGTCCTTCTGACAAAACTTATTTCAAAATTCATATTTACAAATTTCAACCATTTTCGCACTAACTAGCACATCGCACCTAATTATTGTTACTTTAATTCTAAAATCTCACACTGTAAAGCAAATTAATAAATTTCACATTTACCTAACTAACTATCTAATTGCGCGGAATATTTTCGCAGGTATCTACGAAGGCCAATGGAAGGACAATCTTCAAAATGGTTACGGTGTAATGAAGTACGTCACGGGCGATATATACGAAGGGTATTTCAAAGACGGTCAACCCCATGGCCATGGGATCAAGAAGCAAGGGGATTTCACGTCCTCCTCCGCCACTATCTACACTGGCGAATGGGTTAATGGGGTGAAACAAGGCTATGGGGTGATGGACGATATTGGCAAAGGAGAAAAGTATCTGGGCAATTGGAGTGATAATAAAAAACACGGTTGTGGCCTTATAGTGACCTTAGATGGAATTTACTATGAAGGTCTTTTCATGCAAGACGTATTAACGGTGAGTTACGTGATCAATAGATAATTAGGAATATAAATATGCATAAGTTTTTATGTTTATAATAATAAAAACTGTGATTGTATCTTGTTATCTTTAGCCTTGATTTGATATGTACTTATTCTTAAAGAAAATAAAAGACTATCTCGTCTTACCGGTCCATATTTAATAGAACATATGCAACATATCAAACGTAACATAGCAATAGACTAGCTTGTTGTAGGACGATTGCTTGCGCACACCCATGTCCCGAAGTTTGCGTTGAGAAGGAGCACCGGGGGGTTTTAGCCCGTAAAGTCCGGCAGTACCCACATATCTCCTCCGAGATATATGGGTCTGCATGAGCATTTCCCCTCGACAAAAAAAAAGCTAGCCTGTTGTATCGGATTTTTTTAATGCTGTTTATGTTCATGGAATAGATATGTGTGTAGAAAGGCTTTTGGCATATGATTTTCTTATGATTTCTGCTTGACGTAACTTAATGGATTTGCTTTAAAGATACGTAGATAAGGTTTACATTCCCGTATTCTTATCTAAATTCTAAAGACAATAATTATTATTACATGTAATTACGCAATTTTAATATATCCAAATACTGCGTTTGAAATAACGAATTGCTCTACTGTTCTGCAGATTATGATGTCCACTTTACACTAGGTAGGCTTGTTTTGGGACACTTGACTACGAATAAAATAAATAAATATATAATTAAGAGATTTGAAACATGTCCGGAGGAATTATGTAAAAAAGATCTAGAGACATATATCAGAATATTTAATCCATGTCAATTTAGAAAAATTTATATCTTAAATTCATCTGACTTAGAGTCTAACTCGGGACCTTATTTATGATATTCGTTCTGATGTGTGTTTATATTTATAACGCAAGGATGTAATAAAAAATTAAACAACCACAAAACATTGAACTACTTCTCTGTATGGAGCATTAACCTGCTTTCTATTTAATATGGTATAAAAACCTAACCTTCAGGGTCACGGCGTGATGGTGTTCGAAGACGGTACCCACTACGAAGGCGAGTTCAGATCCGCCGGCGTCTTCTCAGGGAAAGGCGTGCTTACCTTCTCCAGTGGGGACAAAATCGAAGGGTCACTATCCGGCGCGTGGACTGAGGGCGTGAAGCTGTCGAACGCCACGATGCATCTTAACGTTTCTAACCCAGCTCCACCTTCGAATTCAAAACCTAAGTAAGTTTGATATTACACTAAACCAGTAATTATACCGCAATATGTACATATTCTGGCCGTGTGGTCCCGGCATAGAATAAGCCACCCCTTCCTTTCCCGTAGGTGTCGTAAGAGGTGACTAAGGGAAGGCGAAAGATGAGCAGCAGTGTCGCTCTTAAAATATCTCAGAAGTCTAACTGCGGTTGTCAATCCGCCTGCCAAGTTTGACAACTATTGGCAAAACCTATAAAAAAATATGGGACATGTTGTCACGTGAATTTTTTAGCCTATCGGTTTTTGCTTTACTAGTATCAGTTTTATTAAAAAAATATGTAATACCATGGGTTTTCACTTTCAATATCTGTTGGAATAAAAGAAGTGATTAAATTGTATATTTTTTATTTAGAAGTATGATAAATTGGCTGTTGCTGGAGTTTCTCGCCTTTCACATAAAACCTAATTTCCCAGTAAATGTGCTTTACCATCTACCTACCTACCTACTTCCATTTTTCTTATCGGGATAAAAAAAATATCCCAACTCTCAAGTTGGGACAATCGATAAAAGTCCATTAATATTAGTTGAGCGGTTTAGCATTATTAGATATAGAATTAAACATTTTTTACTACAACTTTCCAGTTCCTTCGGGAAACTCAGCGTCGCGCCCCATCAAAAATGGAATGCTCTATACCGACAATGTTTCCAATGCCTCGGTGTATCGGACACTATCCTCACGCCGACCGGGAATCACTTCGCAAACGGACCCTCCGGCCCTGTGATAGACAACGTGAAGATATGGCAAAATGTCGCCGTTGCAATTTCCTGCTCGCACAAAGACAAACATGTGAAAACGCAGAAGAAGTCAAAGGGTTCAGATTTGGAGAAATCTGTCGATTGCCTGGAGGTGATACCGCAGTTTGGACAGACATCTCTCAATCTGGACAGCTATATGGAGTTACGGCAGTATTTGCAAAATGTAATTTCTTATTATTTTTTATGCAACTTAGAATGGCAAACAAGCTGATGGCCCACCTGATGGAAAGTGGTAACCGTCGCCTATAGACATGAGCAGTACCGCGGGCATAACACAGTATACATACTGTTTCGCCCATGTTACCCCCCATGCGTTGCCATTCATGAGGACTCAGGTGTAATTCCACTATACCCTGTAAATGCACTGCCATATTCCACCCTTATTATTTATTTATTTATACTTTCTTGTACACACTAATGATATATAAAGACAACCATGTTATCAGTGGAAAGCAGTGGAAAGAAAATATACTAAATAGGCTACAAGAGTTCTCATCCAGCAAACCCACAGTAGAAAGGAGCATCAGTATCAATGGGTAGAGCTGTGTACAATACTGTGATAATTTACAAACAAAAAACTAGACTAAAGTTTATACAAAATCCATTACGAGCTTTTACACGCAACTTTGTCCACGTGACTGGGATATGTTTACTGACTAGGATAAAGAAATAACCTATATCTTTCTCCATCCCATACAGTATATGTATGCAAAATTTCATAGTAATCGGTTAAGCCGTTAAGGTGGTAATAAACAAACTCTTTTTCACATTTATAATATTAGTAAGGATTATATAATTATAAACGCAAAATTTTGTGAGGATGTGTGGATGACTGTTTGTTGCTTTTTCACACATAAACTATGGAACAGATTTGAATGAAATTTAATATAAATAGAAACATAATTAAGTCATATCTTTACAACTTAATATATAAAAAAAAATAAAACAAAACTTACAGGCATGTGAATCAATGCATCACCCGTTGGGGCGGCTGGTCCTCGGGCTCACTAACGCGTTCAACACCACATACGGCGGTGTCCGCGTCCACCCACTGCTGCTGAGTCATGCAGTCAAGGAGTTGAAGAGTATCACCACCAGGCTGTACCAAGTGGTCAGGTTGTTATTCCCCGCGCTACCACCAGAGGGCACCGATGTCGTGTTGCCGTATAACAAAAATGAGTCCAGTAGCGATGGAGACGAAACTCCTGATAGCAATCCTATTGAAGGGTATGTATTTTACACATTTTTTTTTTTACTAAATATAAACCGCTTTCTTTCCTCTGTACAAACCTACCTACTGTACCTCTAACAAATGAATGCCGAGGAAAAAGGGATTGTTAATAATAGAGTCTAAGAGCCCCTATGCTAGCAATATATCCATATCAGGTCGACCTACACGCAGTTCCCCCTGGAAACCGTCGTGGTTATTTCTTGTGGAATTCGTCACGATGGGTCAACTGTCCTGTCTTCATCCTCACCTATCATCACTCAATGGTGCCCCAGCAGTATATACTGTTAGCGCAGGTGGGGGAACCATTCCATTAACATTCATTAAAAGAAACATATGAATGTCAGTTTACCAATTGTAGCCAATTCATCAGGAATTAACCACAGTAGTTTCCAGGAAACCCTACAGAAGTAAGTCTGGGAGCTTATTACTGACTAACACTGAGGAGAAAGGGATTGTATCAATTGAATCAGTATAACTCGTCTAGTCTTAGGTGCTTATAATAAGCCTCCTGATAGGTTATGTTACTAGTTATGGGGCTGTTAAACCCCATTAAAAGCAATAACAATTGTGTTTTCATGGTTGTGTTTCGGTTTAAAGGGTGGCATATGGCGTAAATTTACAGGGTCAGAGAAATAACACCTGAGTCCTCAGGAATGGCAACACATGGGGGGTATCATGGGCGAAACAGTATACTCTGTTATCTCCATGGTACTGCTCATGTCTATAGGCGACGGTTACCACTTTCCATCAGCTGGGTCGACAGCTTATTTGCTATTCTAAGTTGTATAAAAAAAAAAAAATAACAACCTTTTATTTTGTTCCCCTAAGTGAGGTGGTATCAGCGGAGTCCCTTCTACAGCCGACGCTCCTGCCGCGCGTCCACCCGGCGTTGTTCGTGCTGTACGCGCTGCACAACAAGCGCGAGGACGACCTCTACTGGCGGAGACTGCTCAAGTGGAACCGGCAGCCCGATATTACCCTCATGGCCTTTTTGGGCATTGACCAGTAAGTTCCTTTTTTTCTAATTTAATATCCAATTATATGATCATATTAAGTTTTGTGGTATATGTTTTCTTGCAAATTTAATAAAAAATTTCACGTGTCTGACTTCTAAAATAAAAAAACTCCATACAAGCTTTTAAACCCCATTTGAGGGGATGATCCCTTAGGGGTAAGTGAATAGTAAGAACCTATTAGCAAAATTTCAAGATTCCAGATCAGAGAGTTCAGCTGTGTGTTGATGTTTGGATCAGTCGGTCAGTCTCTTAGCATCCTCTTTTATATATATAAATATTATCAATGGGAACATTTGTAATGATGATAGATGGATGTTTGTTACTCTTTCACGGAAAAACTACTGAACAGTTCGGAATGAAATGTCTGTATCGATTCTGATAACTAATTCGTGTTTGGTGAATTTTTTTTCACACAATTACAACAACATTAAAACATTGCACAATATACAAGTAATTGCATACAAAAATCAAATAATTGCTTAGTAATATTTTAATTTAATATCCGTAGAAAGTTCTGGATCGGCTACAGCGGCCACAGCAATCAGATGTCGCCAACATACACGCCCCTTAAGGAGCAGTTGTTCCAAGAGGCTGTCGAGACACTGCAGCAGTTGAAAACCACTTTTTCACCCATCGAGAAGCTCCTAGTCATCAGAAGTACTTTCCAGAAGATGACCACGGCTGTGCAACAGGAATTAGGTATATAAAATAGCTATTATTGAAGTGTCTAATCTATTAAAAATTGTACAGAAAATTTCCTATTAGAAGTTTGCTTTCATCACTCATATCAGCTCTTAACTCGTGTCCAATGCTGAACATAGGCCTTCTTCATAAGGGGGCTCAGCAGACGCATTGGCAACTTTTGTTAGGTTTTTAGTGATATTCTAAGAGGGACGTTGCTGTCCATCTCTCGAACTTTAAGGTCCCTTAATCGCCTATTATGACAACCACAGTGTGGAGTACAGGCCACATATATTATTTATAGTTATATATTATTATTTACCAAATTCGAAATTGACACGCGTATCTATTGTTTCCTTTTGGCTTGCCTTCGGCCCTAGTCTTTAAGTTCCTTTGATTTCCATTCCTGGTTTCCTTTGTCGCCCACACACGGGAAAGGAAGGGATGGTTCATTCTATACCGGAACCACACGGCACTATTGGAAATATCAATTTATTATAATGTATGTTAGAAAGTTGTTAAAAAAATTTGCCATATTTACGGGCAAAATTAATATAAAAGTAATATGGGAATTAACCCTATCTGCAGGATACAAATAAATTTGTCTTGCGCTAGAATAGAACCGGCAACTGTATGGTGAATTAATGTCTTAATTCGCTACACTATGTCAGGGCTTCCGATCTCGATACGATTTAGTCGAAAATCGAACTTTCTTATTTTTTCTTTTCTGTTGTCTTTCTTTTTCTTTCTGTGTTTTTATATCTCGTTTTTCTTTCTTTTTTTTTTCTTATTTTTCTTAATTATTTTTCTTTCACTTTTTTTTTTCTTATTTTTGTTTAAAATTAACCATGGTTCATCAATTTCTATTTCATCGTCTTGACCCACAGGTGAGAACTATCTATGGAGCATGGACGAGCTGTTCCCAGTGTTCCATTTTGTTGTGGTTCGCGCGAGAATCCTGCAGCTCGGCTCCGAAGATACACTTCGTGGAGGACTTCCTGGAGCCGAGCATGCAACACGGCGAGCTGGGACTCATGTTCACCACATTGAAGGTAAAATATTTGGTTTAAATATTTTGTGTATGTGTATGTGCGTGCGTGCGTGTGTATGTGTGTGTGTGCACACAGCTACCATCTCATTTAGAAAAAATACTCTCAGCTCTAATTCCTAATTAAGTAGTTACAAGCATGTATCAATGATGTTGCCATAAAGCGACTAAGTTCAATAAAAAACCATGTTAAAAGTTTCTTTGTTTGCTTATTGTGTCAAATAGAGAAAGAAAAACTTCTTACTAACATAATAAAATTGTAGCTAAATGATGACTGTACATGGGATATATTTAAAAAATATTATATATGTATGATCATCTTGTGGTTTTCATATATATATTATATATAAAAGACGACGTCAAACCAATGTTTATTTATAAATTTTACCTGACTATTTGTATGTTTGTTCCAATATGACCCAAAAATTACTGTGCACAAATTAGATGCGGTTTTCACAATTGTATTCCTAAATGTCTAACCTAAAAATGTTTTATCCTTATACACCATCTAGACGTGTTCTATTCCATTGAATTTTCTACTTCTGAAATCCACGCGTACGAAATAGCGCGAATGTAATTAATAAATCAAATAAAAACTATTAGCAAAATCTATAAAATTACTAATCTAGTGTTTTTGAAAATCATCATGTATGGGGTTTAAAGATTAAAAATGGTTTACAAAACACATTCTGATGAGATCTTCATACGAGTGTTCCTGAAGGTCTGACTTCAAAACTGGAGTGTGTTTTATCTAGAAGTAATCTGTTTCATTTACTTTCCTTCTTATAAAATCCACGCGTGCAAAGTCGCAAGCAGATGCTAGTATGATATAAAATACAGTAGACTATATATTGTTGCAGGCGTGCTACTTCCAAATATTACAAGAAAAGATGACAATCAATTAGAAGGAGACGCCGATATAATGAAGAGTACAATAGAATAAATGATCTCGCAATACGTATATGGTGCGTCATATGATTACTTAGTTTGTAGCTTATGCAATAATTTGCCGTTTTAAGATCTATGCTAGATGTCCTTATTTAGAACATGTCTTTAATTGAAATGTATTAATAAACTTTGTTATTGCTAGATGTTTATTAGATGTGAATTTACAGGGTACAGAGGAATAATACCTGAGTCCTCAGGAATGGCAACGCATGGGGGGTATCATGAGCGAAACAGTATACTCTGTTATGTCCATGGTACTGCTCATGTCTATAGGTGACGGTTACCACTTTCCATTAGGTGGGCCGTCAGCTTGTTTGCCATTCTAAGTTGCATAAAAAATGTTAAAGAAACGATTATTGTATTCCTCTTATAGTTTCTGTATTTAATTTATTCTATTTTTAACTATGGGAAATATCCTACATAAGAACTGAATAAGTTATGGTATTTATAAACAATATTCATGAGTTGTTGACGAAAAATACCAATATATTGAATGTATTAGTTTTTGTATTAATTTCTTGTCGCTATAGTTTCGTTTTCAAATGATTTCCATCTAGTATTATGTATTTAATGCGATATTTTCCTTTTAGAGGCTATTAAAGTATATGAATAAGGTATATATCTGTTTATTCTTAATTCTGTATGGTTGATTAGATGAAATCAAATCTATATTCGTACGTACCGTCACGTAATTTTAATTTTTAAGCCCTATATTTTTATATATGTGTTATTTAAATCGATTTTTCATTAGATTTGTTCAATATAATCTCGCTTTGCCTTTGTTCCAATATTTGGAGTCGGCGCAGTACACTTTTCTATTATATTGGTTTCTAAAATTCGTCGCAAACTTTTTTGCGTATATTATCTTCCACACACACACACTGTTTTCGGTTATCGATATCTTTAATTAATCCATGTTTATATAAATTTATTATAATATTAATTTTTAAAAATATGAGTCCTCACGACTCCATATAAAAATATTTAATAGTTTGTCTACTGTGAGAATGATACTTCATCATTCATTCACTCATTCTTTATCACCCAGAATATATGTCATTTGTATTTCGAAGTCCATGTAAATGCATATAAGTCTAAAATCCTATTTATATTTTTTAATACAAAAAAAAAATACATTACATTAACCAAAAAATAAGCTTTAAAAAACATTTTCTCCCTTCTTTGAAAATCGTTATTGTATACACTTTATTTTTTTCTCAAACTTTAAAATCATTCAATTAGGCGTCAATTATGAAAATGTCTAAAGGAATTTTCGTACATAAATGTTACTTAAAATACTCAAATATAATTTTAAATAATTGTTTTAATTGTAATATTTAATGTTTTGTACTTTAGCGGTTCTATAAGTGTGTATAGGATTTGAAGGAAACGCTTCGAATTATTTATAGCAAATTATGTTTAATCCTATCTAATATTTATTTATGTTATTTAACCGTATTATATGAATTTTTTTTTTTTTTTTTTTTTTTATAGTGCTTAATTTTTAATTTTTTACTGATAGAATTATCTAAAAATACGTTATTCGTAACCATTCATGAATTATTATTGGCGTAGTGTGTATATTTTATTTGAAGTGCCAAAATTATATAATAAATATTCATTAAAGAATTACAAAATTATTTATCTATTAAGCTTACATTGTAACTCTAAAAATGTACATTATTTTAATACGATTACGGTTATAAATGCAATAACCTTAGGATTAACTGTCAATGTCATTGCAATCTGCAATGTTATTCTGTGAAGTTTTGTATCTCATTTCTAATATCACTTCAACTAAATTATTACTTTGTCTAATTTTGGTATTCTGTAATCTTGGCAATGACTAGTGAAGTGAAATGAGTTTTGAAAGTTAAAACGAGTTCCTAAGGGTGGTAACACACCCAGTGGTGACTTGTGGTGGAGGCACGCCTCGGGCCGTTCTGGGGAGTTTCCAAACGCCTCTGTTTTTCTCAGCCATATCCATATTCTGTTTATTAAGGTCTAAATTAAATTTCAACTGTAAGATTTTAACTAATTAAATATAAACCGATCTGAATAAAAAGATTAAAAAATTACATCAACTCCTTAAACTGAGGCGCTTATTCACGTTTATCTCTCCGGGCCTCTGACTGGCTTAGTCCGCCACTGCACTTACCCCAGTTAACAGCGCTGCGACCGTAACAAAGTGACGCTGTCATCGATCAAAACAGCAAATGTAAGTCACTAACAAATCCACTAGTGAAATTCATTTGACTTTACAGAATACCACTACTGATGAGTATAGCTTTTTTTTTTTGCCTTATATAATTTTTTTTTAATAATATTAAATAAATGTAACATGTTATTACGCAACGCTTTAATTAATAATAGGTGTTGTTATGTAGTGTTTTATTTAAATAGTGTCATATATAAATTGTTAAAGTTATTCCATAAAATGACTGTGAGGATATTACGTTTACAGTTTATGTTTATACACGCGAAATGTATGTGAAATGAAAATTATAGGAAGTACACAGTACGCAGAGACCATAATTAATTCGTATTAAAATTACAATTGAGCTGGTCTTAAAAAAATCTGTTTTAATAAGTGTATTGAATAAGCGTGGATGTTGTTTCCTAATGTGTTGCTAAAAATAAATATTAGGTACTTCCATTGAAATTAAAATGTTTAATATCACTGCAGACGACGGACGTTTCGTCCGCAGAGAAAATCTATCTTGTATAAGCTATAACCGTGCACAATACGCGTGCATTGGAGCATGCAGTTTTAGTGTTGCTAAGACTATAGATTTCCCTATATGAAGTAAATTTGAATTGAATTTGATCTCGTAGGTCTTCAGCTTAGAAAGACGAAAATACTTAATATAAAAGGACTTTTTTCCACGAACACAATTGTCCCTTATCTGCGCTGATTATTAATCAAATTGGCACTTAAAGTCAGATGGCATTGTAATGCGTTCAGATTACATATTAAAAAAGAAACTTTCCAAGCCAGAATATAGCAACATTGGACCAATTAAACAATAATTCGTCCTGTGTTGCTATATTTTATATAAAGTAGTGAATAAGATATGACAATCCGAAATTCCATAGCACTTCTTAGGGTTTTAAGTTAAAATATTTATTTTAATAAAAAAAAAAGCATAATTATTACCTCATATGTCACAAACTATGTAATGAGTTTCTTCATAGTTTGTATAGCGACTTTATTTTGTTATTACATAAAATATCTTAATAAAATATGGTTTTCCGTTTTCTTTAAGTTCAATACTTCGTATACCTATATACAGCGAGCAATGGGACTAGTGTAAAGAGCTAAAACCCGGCAACAGTATTACTGAAAATGAACAAGTTTCCGTAAGTAATTCCTAGTCAAAATATTATTTTTTACCTTCTCATACAAAGTTCATAATCACACGATTAATTTAGTACGAAAATGTCACCTACCACTTTCTGAATTTAAATGAACCTTTAATAATACCTTCTCGAGCTCGCCTAATCGCAGACACGATCCTAAATCCTAATAACGTTCAAAAAATTAAGAAATTTACCACCTTTTAGTTTTAAAAAGTAGTTTCAACCAATAAGAACAGGTAAGAAACTCGGATTATTTCTCGTTTCAGTTTTTTCTCAATTAGGTTGTATTTTTTTTTGTTTGTTACCTCATAACTTCTTAAGTTGTAAACCGATTTGATTTTTATCTGAAAGGATATTTATACATTGATTCCATAATTTTTTTTATAAAAATCAGTTCAGTGTTTTAGTTTGTAAAACTGGTTTTGCCACAACCGAAGCCGGTTTTGAGGAACGCAATCTTCATTATTTTTATATCCTACCCATATTCCCTGTGGAAAGTTGTTTAGTTTCAACCGGTTTTAGAATGTTACTGATGGGTTTTGACTTGTTCTATTAACCTTTGTATAGAAATGACCACAGTACAAATATAAGTGAATTGAACATGTTGTAACTGAACTTATGTACCCGTAGTTTTCACAGTGTGAAGATTTCTAGTGTTATGTATGTATATATGAATATTTGTTTTTATCTGGCAACACCAGTAATGTAATAAAGTGTACAATACGGGAAGATAAATATATTCTTTACTTCATAGAACACCAAAACTGTTCAGTGAATACAATTACTATGTACCTATAGATATCATATCATAGTTTATAAATGAGAGTTAGGTACATAATTGTAATACTGTTTGTATAGATATTTCTTGTCATGATTCTTTGTATTTGAAATGTGTTTAACAGTTCAAAAATATATAACATTTAGTAAAATTCGCAAAAGATATTTTTTTTATTTCCCAAAATCTTATAAACTTATAGATTTTTTTATATCCCACCCTTCAAACCGAAACAACTGCTTTACGGTTGAAACACGAATGGGACAGAATGGTACCCAAGCAAACGACTTTTATATAAAGTCACCCTCTGGTAAATTTATAATGATGCAATAATCTATTTTTTAAAAATAACTAGGACAGATTGACCAAAACGAAAACAGCCGATTCAGATGAATCAATGAATCAGATGGTAGATGATTTTCCCACCCGATTTTCGTTCCCGTATATATCGTAAGAGGCGACTCGGAGAACATAATGGTCGAGGGATTGAAATTCGCTTCAATCAATTATTGGGTAATAAATAATACAAATAAAATGTTTATTAAGGCTATTTATTTCATTCCTATAAAATAACATACCAAATGTCTCTTTTGTACAACATCATATCAAAAATGTACACCATTATATAAATTTCGTCTTAGGTAAATGTTACCTAGCTACTCTCGTGATTTCCCCTAGTTTCATGGCTATTAATCGTCATAAATATAGTAATAATATTATAGTCCTCTCACTTTCGTAATCTCTGATAGGTACAAAATGTTCATAGGTAATACCGTCCTGTAATGCTGTACAACATATCTACAATATATAGAGTTCTAATTATTGTTTAAATTCATTGTTAGGTGATATTTAAAATGTTAAGACCTGCGTAGACGAGCAGACAGTGCTCGAGGTATTTTTATGGCCGATTTTTTTACTTAGGACGCGAAACAAATTTCTCATACAATACGCAATTCAATTTTATATTCTATTCTGATGGGCAAAAAATTCCGAGGATTGTTGATCGTCTACAAAGGCCTTTACAAATAGACTTATTATATTGAAAAATATACATTAAAGCGTAAGGTACTATTGTGACGGAGATTTGGAATAGAAGCCAGGAAATTCATAAATTTGAGATCTGCCTTCCACCATTCCATTGTAGTGTAATACAAAATGCAATTGCTTCTTATGTTTGTATGTTTTCATAATCTTTGAAACGGAAAGTAGACTGTGATTAAAGTCATAACAACGTGTTTTATTTAAATTCAATTCGAGAACCAAGCACCGATATACTGTGTAATAAATAACCAGTAATATATACATGTATTATAGTCTTACATAAACTGTCAAATCGCATTTTAACAAATCTATATCAATCATATTACAATTTGGACTTGCATGTGATTTATTTTGTTTATAATGAAGGATTTTATTCGAATTGAATTTCAAATAAACATCCGCTCTTACAACCCAACCACAGCCAAATTTATAGCATTATGAAGCCATGTAGGTGGGTAGCTTCTGATTAGCCAATGTATAAAAAAGTCGAGAGTATTACAATTTTTTATCTACTACAGGCAAGAATTTCCATTGTCAGATCATGAGATATTTGCGTCGATGTGAAACATGTAGTATAGTGCACAACCTTAACTTTTTAAAATGAATTATCGATAATATTAACTGACTTGACGTACGTTTGTTCGCGTCTACATCATACTGTTGTATTTGTACTTTGTTTATAAGCAAAATAGGGCTGCGAGCGTGGGAGCGACAACGCTCGATTCACATAAGACAAATACTATTATCTACTACATAGTTATATGCCATATTTAATTTTAGTCAACATATATTGCTCGAGTCAGACGACTAGGTCACATAGAAAATATAGATTAATTAAAAAAAAAAAAAAACTGGGAACTTCAATATTTAAGTAGGTACATACGATATTTAGAAATTTTAAATAATATTTTGAGTTTCATTACACATTATTTAATTTAACATCAGATAAGAAATTTTATGTTACATGGAGTCAATTAATTAAATATGGCTATAACTATCACTCAAATAAAATATTACATAAACAATCACATAATAAGTAACGTCAAATTCAATAACGTGATACAGTTATTGCGTTAATATTATTCTCAATTTTCATAAGTGTACCTTAAAAACCAATGTTAAATTACAATATAAAACGAATATACCTTCCAATTAATACAACAACAAATACCCGAAACTCTCAAGTTAGGTAATGTTAGATAAATAACGTAAATTTTATTTATTAAAGTACGATATTAATATTAAATATCAATTATGTTGTATTGCATGCAATTTAATTTTATTCATATAAAATTAACAATATTTAAAAAAAATAACACTGTGGGATCCTTTTTTTTTTTTAATAATCTAGTTTTACAGTAAAATGTATCTATAAACATATAGGTTACAAGTCACAGGAAGAAATCTAGTAAGCCTATGTGAAGTATTGTTTAAAAAAACATTGGACATTTAATTAAACAACAGTTTTGCACTTACAACTAGAGAAATCAACATATATATTACTATAACATTCTACTTCTATGTTAATGCTTACAAATAAATGCTGTCTACAGTGGTCTATGGGTATACATCCCCTAATGATATACTTTGTAATGTAGTTCACACACAAAGCATGTCAGATGGCGTTGGGGCAGTCGCGTTAAAAGCATACGTTGAACGGAACATATCTATAGAGAGACGCGGCGCAGAAATTTACTGGAATATTTATTTAAAATTAGAAATTATGTTTTTTATTTAATATTGCACTTTTTATTATTTATAAAATAAATAATCTGAGGGAAAACTTAACTGCGACATTCAATGTAAATTGATTGGGTTAGTTCTGACGTCACAGTGTATGCGAACGTCATCAGAGGGCCTACCATGAAGTGTTGCAAAATTTAAAAATGTTAAAATATCTGTCTTTTGGACTCTTATACCGACGTTAAGCTTCATTTACCGAGGTGATTTTTCACACAAAAAAATGTAATTTACTTCGAAATTTCATTTCACGATGGATCCCGATTCGAACGATATGAAGAGTGACGTCATAAGAATGTAATTTAAAATTTCCTCCGCTAAAATTACAGCAACTTCATTCGTAAACACAATAATAAACTCCATTGATTGCAAACAAAATATATAAAAATTAACCGATTAATGGATGAGGTTCGGTTGGAGTGTTTGCCAATTTTTTTAAAAAAATTGGGGTAAAACTATGAGTTATACTTAACAACTCTGCATTGAGCCATAACAAATCTTATGTGATAGCTAAATGCAGAAGTGCTAAGCTTTACGAACAGGATAATTGATTAGAAATCCTGAAACGTATAGTACCTAAGTTAACGCGACTGCATACAGCCATAGAGTAAATACTATATGCACATTTCACATGCAAATAAACCCTAACTGCATATAAAATACTATAAATTGCGTACATTAAGGGAATAATTGAAGGGTATCTATTATTGCCTGATACAAAACCCGTATTGCTTTTAAAGATTTCGACGAATTGTTATCAATAAAATAACCGTGTAATAAGAATATAAGTGAAGGTGAACGCCCATTTACCCGTGGCGACCAAACAGAATTCTTTTTACGAAATTTTACGAATCCTCGTTAACTAAATTATGTCGCAAACACCTAATCGGTAGAAAAAATAAAAAAGTTGCTAATTCCAACTGAATAAATCCGATTATTTAATTCATGGAATTATGCGACTGCAGTGTAAGACTGTATTTATTATAATTCATTTAGAGAGGAAGGAAATGCGAGACTTGATACTTCGTTATTTCATTAGACACGATTAGCGCAGATAAGTGGGCGTTCACCATAATCCAAATGAAACCTATTCTTATAGTGATTACACGCTCGCATTTATTACAATTATTTTAATGTTAGCACACTTTGTAAGAAAGCAGGGAGATATTTTATATATTTCGGTGTAATAAAAGTAAACAGGTGAATCTTGCGAATACATTAATACACTATACAAATATCATTAGTCGTGATCACCACACCATACATTTTAGGCCTAATTTTTGTAGATAATTCTTGTTGGTATCCAAACTGTATCGAAAAGGGTATGAACAAATCGAAAACCAGCGACAGTATTAGCTAAACTGAGCAATAAAAAATAGCTGAAAAATAGAAAAAAACTTCAATATATATATATATATATATATATATATATATATATATATATATATATATATATATATATATATATATATATATATATATATATATATGTCACCCTAAGATTGTAAATACCGTTAGATTACAATCTAGCTCGCGAGATTGTAATCTAACGGTTAGAAAACTGTTGAAAGATTGTAAACCGTCACATACTGCTTAAAATGTAAAGCATTATTTTTCAGTAAATTATAATCTATCGAAATGCAAATGTCAAATTGCGCTTCGATAATAAAGAGGAATAATAGGAAAACGTAAATACAATTAATATTACAATAATTGACACTCACAAGATGGGGCAAGAAGAAACAAAAACAGCAAGTGATGATAAGCAGGAAAAAGTATCTTTAGGTAGTACGAATAGCATAAATTCAAAAAAACAAAGGAAACTAGATGAAAAATATGGACAAAGAAATCGTCACCGTAGAAAAAGGGATCGTACCTAGAGTGCTGCTTTGTGTAGGTGATATTGGTGTAATAATTGAAGAAATTAATTATTCGGCGTGTAACGTATGCAACAAAGAATCATCAGCATGTACAAAATGAAAAAAAAAATTGTAAACGCCATATGTCGAATTTCACTTCGATAGATTATAATTTACCGAAAAATAATGTGTTACATTGTAAGCAGTATGTGACGGTTCAGTCTTTCGACAGTTAACAATCTCGCGAGCTAGATTGTAATCTAACGGTATTTACAGTCTAACGATGATATATAGTATACTTTTTTGTTACCAAAGTGACCAACCTCAGTATAATACTCGCCTCGCCCACGCCACTATTACTCTGTGCAAACCACACAATGCCATTATGAAAATATTTTTTTAGCCTTCCAAACCGCGCGGTCATATGATCAAATTATAAAGGCCAGACATTTTATTCCTATTTCAATCAATGTCCTCTGAGAAAAGTGGCTCAGTTCTAGAAATAATATCGGTGGATTTCGGATTCTCGTACTTTCCGCTACATTTGTTCTATTTGTATATTTGATATTGTTTATAAAGCATTTACAATAAACTCTGTCTATCCGAACATCCAGGAAAACAACATCATTATTTTGTTATGGATTGGTCATAAATGCAGTGAAATTTTCCAAAACTTATGATTTTTCGTACTGCGTCTTACTGTAAATGCTCTACAATCTGTACACAATAATATTACTTACTGACGCATTAATTTTTTTTTCTCATAGATCGAATATGGATTGCAGGCTTGTGAGACTGTCCTATCGTGTTCTCTACATCTAGCGGAGGATACAACTATCATTAGAATAATATCTAGTAAAATATACGTATGAAGGTATATACATATACCGGCGTAGTCACTAAATAACAAACAAACATGTACACTATGAAAATAATGGATTTGTTTCAATTAAAATCGACTTTTAAGTTAACCTCATTAAGTTAATAAAAATCTTATTTACATGCCTCCTACCAAAACAATAATAAATTGATATTGTTTAAAAAAAATAATTATAAAAAAAAAACAATAAAACTTTTTTTGCTAAGCAATTAAAACAATAAATAGACGGCATCGTCGTGCCATGGTGTAATTGTAAATGTTTCCGATATATAAATTAAATGGCCGAAAATTAATATTTAATGTTTCAATTATATTAAACCAATTCAAAGAGCCAAATGTGCGTTACGAGTGCTACTAAGTTCCTTAACAGTCCAATTTCGAGTTGCTTAATCAACTAATACTGAAAGCACCATTTTATATTACCTAATTAATCAATTCTTACATAAATCCGATAGATATAATTTTGAATTCCGATTGATGGCTTGTCAAGGGCGAACTACACGACTAAAGTGACTACTACTAACAAATAGGTAACATTTACCTTAACACCTCTCTAATAAGGTCGATAATTTATTTACGTTTGTTGTTATTATGTAAAGTTTCTTAATATGTCACCAACTATTTTGAAAAGAGAACTATTTGAGCAAGTCACTGGTGATTTACACGAAAAAACCTTAACTCTTTTTGATAATTCCAATTTCGAACACAAAATAATTATTTTCAAATGACCTGCTCCACTTTTTTTGTATAGTCGCCCTTAATTGACCACGAAATCTAAATATTATTATTATATATTAAAATATATTTTAAAATCGGCAGATTTTTCGCCTGGTATTCTGTCAATGGCATCAAACACTAAACTAGGTCTAATACTGAGATGATCATATGTGCAGCATTCACAAAACTGACGAGAAAGGAATGCTATAATTATAAATCCAAGTGAATAGTTACAACAATGACGCGGAAGTATCGCGGTCAATATGTTCTAATTATCTACCTACGCGTAAGTCCCATTCGTAAATCTTTATACTTATTAGTATTTATGATAAGATTCCTTTCAGATCGACCTCCACGCGGTCCCCTCTGAAAACCATCGTGGTTAATTCTCGGCGAATTTGTCACAATGGGCCAACTGATACACTTCATTCTCATCTATAATTATCATAGATATATATATATAGATAGCAAATAACGCATGATATAGGATCGCATAGACAGACCTCTTCGCATACACATGCCAGCTACTTTCCACGACGAACGTCGGAGAAGTTCCGCATTTTTTTTTAAATGTCTGTTAATCCTGTGTTCAAAATATTATTCCAGATTCGATTTTTAATTGAATTTTAAAAGTATTCGATATTTAAATGTCAAAATTGTTTTAGTATCAAGCTTAGTGATTGGTATTATAACATTCGATGTATTTATCGATATTTAGGTTCAAGTCAGATTATTTCTATATTAAAATCTGTCTAAATTTAGGTTTAGAGCCTATCTAAACTTCATAATATTAATAAAGAAGGATATATTTTGGAAATATAATGAAGAATCCTACTCCTAAGCATTTTGTAGTCATTACAATTGGCACGGGCGTTGTAGCCAATGTCTATCGATATTAAATTGTAGATTAATGTTAATGCTGTTTAATCCCTAGATTGAAGGATTGTATCGAGTTGACAGCTGTCATAATGACAGATAAGCGGCAACAGCCCGTCCCTACACAAAACGTTCAACTTTATTCATCTCCACTATTTCGATATTTATGATAATTATTAATCATATCTCATTGGTTTCCGTCAGCATAAACCAATAGTACTGGCTAGACAACCATTTGGTTTTCATCAATTAAAAAAAAAGAACGACAATAACAATCGTTCTTTTAAAAAAATTCATAAAAGTAAATTGACAGAGACACTTCGCGACATTATCGTAATTATGTACTTTGTATAATGTGTGTATAAAGTTAAAATTTCATTACAAAAAAAAATCTAAATACTCCTATTTATATTACAATATAAGTAAATAAATAGAAGTGTAAACAAATTTAAAATATTAAGAGCATTCTTCTCCACGGCAGTATATTTTGATGCCAAGTCGATCTGATACTACTTACACCCGTTATAATTAAATATATATAATTAATTATAATTAATAACTCATATGACACTGACGCGATTGACTTCTTATTGTCACCAATGCTAGAACGGGATAATATAATAATAGTATGTGAATACCACAACATCAAGGTGTGTACATACTAGTGTTTATTGTGACTATACAACCTTTAGCGATCTAATAATGTGCACTAACCATAAAACGGGGTAATAGTGTTGTGTTGCCATAGTAAATAAAATTATTGACTGTTAGTAACAAAATAAATTGTGTAGAAGTTTATTAAATTATTAAATTTAGAAGTGTTCATATATTTCTCAATACTGAGTACTGCTCACAGTCTGTAACAGTCACACTATAATATCTGCTAATATCCGCCTCAACCACAACACTATGACTCCGTTTGGATTTTCTGTGGCTGAGATTACACTAGAAGTCTTAAATAGAAATACCATAGACCGAACCACAGACTATGCAATAAACATTTTACATGAACAAAACGTTCTAAATATGGATGGACCGATAGAAAAATATAATTTACTAAATAACTATGACCTAGCGTAATATCAGCCTTGGATCAGTGCAACGCTATTCACCTTAAGAGCTATCATTCTGCCGTTTTTAAATCTCTTATAGCTTTAATTAATAGTATGTACATTATAATTATCAATATTCTGCTTTAAATCTAGACCATGATTTTTCTGTCATCTCTTATATAAAATATTTACACATCCCATAAGCGCTCATGCACTTATGTTGCCAGTCGAATTTGAATTCGTGATTATGTTATAACGCTGTCGATGCAATATATCGCGACGGGTACTGAGGAAGGATCGATTCATCACCAGCGGGAAAACATCGAACGACCCACAAAATAATACGGAAACACCAAGCGATCCGATGAAGTATCCTAACTTATTCATATTTGTTCCCAAGCATGATATAAAAGTCAGATTTTTTTTTTTTAATATTACCGAAATGTTAAATAAAATTAGTGTATCAGATTATTAAAATACGTCCAAAAACGTACGCGAATGTTTGCCGCAAGCTTATTAGCGGTGAGAAAAATATTAAACGAGAAGTCACAAATCCATCGTACAAACCATCTTACGCACTAAGAGATACCTAAATCTGTAAAATAGGTACAAATAACGTCCTTACTATCCAGAAGGCAAAATTGGCACATATGACGAAGTTCGCTCCCTTGATGCGTGTCTGTAGGAGAACGGCAGCGCCGGACGGGGACGGGGGCCGCGGCTATGTGGCCGGCGAACTGTTCTGCGTCGGGTTGTACGGGTGGTTCGAATTGCGCAACACTGTGTACACACTGTCCACCTTGCTCAGTTTCTCGAAAAACGGTATCAAGTCCAAAAGTTCTGAATCTGTCATGTCGTCGAACCAAGACGCGACAGGTACCTGCAAATATTACGTGTACGTTAGCGAAGTTAATCTAGGGAAGGAGGTTAAGGGTAGCGAAATTAGTGAGAGTGGAGGCACTTGTCGCAATGGCGCATGTCACAAAGGCGATGCATGAAGATTACCATTAACATGTGCTTTTATGCTCATATGTGGTTTTGTGCTCCGCGTCGGTAGAGATTTTAAGCATTGTTCCACGCTTACTTTATTATATAATAGTTTTGTAAGAACAATTTTAGAATATGCTTCTACTATTTGGAATCCTCAATATAAAATATATATAAATATGATAGAGAAAATTCAAGCCAAATTTATTAAATATCTCTGTTTTAAATGTCCACATTGCAGATCTAATAAAGAAAAACTTTTAAGTATGTCTTTATGTAAACGACGTTTTGAGAGAGATCAAATATTTTTATACAAAATTATAAATAATCTTATTGATTCACCTTTTCTGTTGAGTAATGTTAATATAAGGTGTCCCCGGGTAAATTCTAGAAATAATAAATTATTTTGTACACCTATTTCATACACGAATTACATGAATAATACGTATCTTATAAGAGCTTGCAATTGTTATAATCAGCAGTTCCTCTCTTTAGATGTATTCAGAGAAGATTTAAATTTATATAAAAAACACGTTAGAGAGGAGCTTCTGGCAAACCCCGTTTAATTGGATAGGGAAAAATCATGTTAAAATTGTTATTGATATATTTGTTTTCTTTTTTTTTTATTGTTAAGTATATGTATGTGTATGTATGTATGTGTGTGAGTGTGTGTATGCATACGCACATATTTACAAGTGTGTGTGTGTGTGTGTGTGTGTGTGTGTATGTATATACTTTTATATATATTTTATGTTCATCAATATCATATATAATATCAATAATCATCTGCTCTCGATTATTTAGTTTAGTTTATTGTGGAAACTTTACTGATTTATGTTATGGTTATGTATACTTTTTTATATGTTTTAGATATTGTATGTTTCCCTTTCAAAGTAAAATAAAATAAAATAAAAACATCATAGTATATTGTAAAGTCCACGGTCCTATTTATGTCGATACACAACAATTACCACTTTCTATCAGGTAATCTGGTTATTGACATTCCAATCAGAATCCAATGTTAAACACAGGCTCTTCCCAGAAAACCGCCGTAAGAAAGATCGATGGGAGTTCCGCATCCACAACTATGTGCAACACTTTTGAGATTTCACAAATAAATATACTTTAATGATTGATGATGATATAGGTATTTATTTATTCATTAGTACATATATGTATAAAAGGCAGACTTAATGCTAAAAGCATTCTCTCCCAGTCAACCTTAGGGAAGTAACAGAATACTCGAATGTGGTACTAGTAAGAATCTATATATATACATACTAAAATATATATATAAACAAATAAATATATATAAATAACAAATATACTTATACATATACAAGATATACTAAATTATACACAAAGATGAAAATAAATAGATAGTACTTACTGCTCGGATAAACTATACAAGTTAGCATAAATATTTTTTTTAAAGACAGTTTAGTGTAAAGTCTTTTAAAGGTTTCAGGAAGCGCATTCCAGAGCCGTGAAGAATGTAAAATAAATGAATTTAATACGAAACTAGTACGTTGAGAGAGGACAGCGGCATCCTTAGTTTAATCATATAAAACATTAGGTATGCATAAAAAAAGTGGGTAGAAAGAAAATAGACTTGGGAGCGGAAGGGTGACATCACGACATAAGTCAACAGGTGACGACGGCCGTTGTAACTTTATCGAAACATTCACATTACCCTGAGTAAAAATATTTTACCTAATTATTACATTAATACCCGTTCTTTAAAATCATAAACAATGCGAACTGAAAGTCCTAAACTTTATATATATTTTTTTATACAACTTAGAATGGCAAACAAGCTGACAGCCCACCTGACGGAAAGTGGTAACCGTCGCCTATAGACATGAACAGTACCATGGATATAACAGTGTAAATTGTTTCGCCCATGATACCCCCTATGCGTTGCCATTCTTGAGGATTCAGGTGTTATTCCTCTGTACCCTGTAAATGCACTGCCATATCCCAACTTCACGTAACTTTATATTATGCACAAAACTCACAGCATTGTCCGGATGGAATATGTATGAGGCTGGCGAGTTGTCCACGATGACCACCCGCCGGAGGTCCCGGCCGAGGCTGTTCAGGTCTTTCACGTAGTTCCCTCGATGAAACACGCAGCTGTCGCGGAACAAACGGGCACGGAATACGCCCCATCTGCAACGTGACGATGTTAGTTACAGGTGAGTTTTTAAGCACTAAGGAATAGAAAACAAGCTGATAGCCCACCTGGAGGTAAATTGTAAGCGTCGGGGGAAAAGATTCTTAGTAATAGAGACTAGCGTCCTCATTGCTAGCTTATATACTACTAGGTTGACCACCACGTGGTTTCCTAGAAACTATCGTGATTAATTCCAGGTGAATTGGTCACGATGGGCTTGTTGGATGGACAACCTGTTTTTATTTTTACCCATAATCTCTCACTAGTAACTCGTCAGTATATCCCGATAGCGCAGGCGCGGGGTTACCCTTCCATATTCATAATTAAAAAAACGTAGCCAAAAATAAATGTTGGGTAGACATAACCGGAATGCTATGCCTCAGTACAATGTAATGACAACACTGCCAAATCCTGCTTGAAACAATTAATAAGCGAGACAAATCATTCAGAATACTATATGTTAGTAAATACAATAAATTGAACAAAATAATTCTTATATAAATAATATTTATTTATAAATAAGTGCATCCGTAAACACAATAATAACTTCAATATAATAATTATTCTATGTAACCTTTTAAGACTTTCCGGACAAATTATATGTTAGTAATATTTATTTCACTTATTTATAAATCAAATGCTTATATAAATAATATTTATTTATCCGTAAACACAATAATTCAACAAAATGTCTTTTAAGAAATATTTATTTAACTTATTTATAAATCAACTGCATCCAATTTGTCCAGATACAATAATGTTAATTACAAGTAGCAATTTATCTGTGAACAATTACAGAAAATAAATGTATGTCTAAATGACAATTAATAATATTAACGAGAATGTTAATTGAAACTTGACAATAATTATGTCTCGACGAGGACTTCTCGATAATAATATATGGGATTACGTAATATCAATATTGCAAATTAAACATCGTCTCATAATAACGCAGCGCATACATTGTTTAAATACAAAGTAGTATATCGAACTGTTACAATAAGCAGCTATTATTAATTTTAATATACTTCCGTATACAGGTACGCGTTTTAATTGTTAATATTTCATTATGATAACATACTTAGTTTTCAATCTATCGTTCAATGCTAAACCTACATACGTCTCTTCATATTTTTCCCATATTTTTTTATAGCATCTTGCGGTCCTAGGCAAACGAGGGATGAGCAACAGCGTTCCTCTTAAAACATCTCTAAACTCCTGCCAAGCGTGGCAACTAGCAAAACTCCCCTTATGGACCTTCAGCAGTGGACAGTTAACGATTTAAATAATAATAAATAAAAAAAAATATATACAAGTGAATTGAGAACTGAAATTGTTTGAATCGAAGCATTTGGCGTTCCATTGTTTCTGCCTACCCCAATGGGAGACAGGCGTGACAGGTATGTATGTATATGTATGTATGAATTGAGAACCTCCTTTTTGAAAGTCGGTTGATAAGAGCTAGACTCACCTATCCAACAGATCGGCGACCGGATCCGCGTACTTGGCAAGCGACGCGGTGAATAGTACGCACTCGTACAATTCGCCGCATCGACGCAAGAACTCGTCCACGTGCGGCCGCTTCAGTACGTACACTTGGTGCACAGCGCCATCTATCTCCACTGGCACCACGAAGTCCGCGTTGTTTATTGGCTAGAACGGAATAAATCATTGTAAATATAGATACATTGTTGTTTATGTTATGTTATTATAAGTCGCAATACATTGTTATCTTCGTATGTAATAAAGTCGCGCTGTAGCCAAAACTATACGTATATAAGAAATGTAGTTTATAAAAATAATACATTACTAAATACGATATTCAACAAAATGGTTTACTTGTGTGTTAGAGTTGCATATAAAAATAGTCAAGATTGATTATGATGAAGATTTCAGAGCATATTAATCTAAATTATAAGGGTCAAATCGACGATGCCCCATATTTAGAAAGATATATGGTAGAACAGGGGCGGTCGAGTTGACTAGACCCAAGATCTACTGTTTGCTGATGAAACCCTGTGCGATCTACTAATTACATACTTCTTGAAATCTTAAATGAAACAACATAGTTCAATACACAATTATGTATTGTAATATATTTTATATTATTAAGAGGAAAACATAAAATTGAAAATTATTATTCATCATATCAGCCTTTAATTGTCCCTTAGGGGGATTTGCCAGTAGTTACCACGCTTGGAAGGCGGATTGGCAACCGCAGTTAGGCTTTAAAAATGTTTTGAGAGGGACGCTGTTGCCCATCCATCGTCTTCCCTTAGTCGACTCTTATGACACCCAGGTGAAAAGAAGGGGTGACCTGTTCTATGCCGGGACCACACGAAAATTATTATTAGTAATTACTAATTAATATTGGTGAGAGTATGGCGTCTTAATATAATATATTTTTTGATAAGCAAAATATTATATTTTTTGCCTTGCCACGATCGACTGGACTAATAGTCGCGATCCACCTGTTGGCCACCCCTGATATAGAATTTTTAAACTTTCGATAGCCTATATGAAAATTCATAATATTGACTAAAAAGTCTAAAAGTTACCCCCAAAGGGGTTAAATTGTTATCTATCTAAGTTATTTATTGTTAAGAAGTGTACTAACTATATTTGACAATAGATGGTGTTATGTAATTAAAAAAAATGTAATATCATCATGACTTAGTGGTTTACTACTTCGATTTAATTGTCGTACAGGTCGCACGTTAAAACTTTGAATGTGGCCAACAACAAAGTGAGTGTATTAATATCAATTTCCTAATAATAATAACTGCGGTGATAGAAAATATTAAGAAATTAAATTAATGCAATATGCTCGAACTTTAAAGTTGAGTTACATTAATTATTGAGAGATGTTTTGGACTACGATTATTCCATTTGCAATTAGTCATATGCGCCTTATATAAATTCCAAATTTTATTTATTTAGAAACAATAAAACTTTACTAAATGGATCTAGTCATTCTCAAACAACAAGGAGCTTTAAATCCTTTTTACTTCAAAATTTTACAAGTAGTTTATTATTAATATAAAAGACTACTAATATCTAAACTGGGCCGAGCCTGTAGGTTTGATACCAGTAAATCATTGCATCTAAATCTTTCATATTGTTTTTAATTTCCAGTCAACTCACTGCACAACGCAACGGCCGTCACAATACACTTCTAAAAATAGATTCATTTCTTTCTACGGCATGCGATGAAATTCAATTGTCGCAAGGTATAGGCGTTGGTTCATAGTTGGCTCCACAGATATAAGAGTAAAATAGATGTCGCAATCTACATAAAAAGCCAGGAATATCATAAGGTACCTTAGTGAAAGAGTAACCCCCCTTACTTATAAAAACTAAAACCTACTACAAACCTATTTTAACTACTAAACTGTTTTGTAACTCTCTTTCAAATTGGGAATGTAGCATAGACAAAACAGTGCAATTGTTAAAATAGGTTTATGAGACGTTTGATGTTTTTATGAATATGAGCGTAAGGATAAACTTATTAAAATTTTGCAAATCGTGGTGAAGACATCCTGGTAACGAAATAAAGTAACTACGATTTGTAAAGAAAAATCTGTGCAAAGGAACGAAAACAGGTCCCCTGAACAAAGTTTACAAGCGAACGTAATTTCAACAGCACTATTACGCCACTCTAGCGCTAATATTCTTAGCAATTAAGCTACTACTTACGCTAGACAACCGTCTCGAAACCAACGATAACTAGTGTTTCTGTAGGAAATACTACAAGTATATAAGTTACTTCTGACTCGATATAAGACTTATAAATTTTAAACTACAATACACCACAACCACAATACAATACAATAAATCAATACACTTCTTATTTATCGCACGCAAAATAGGTACAGTTGCGTCGTCTATGTAATCGTATGTCTGTGGCTGAACCAAACACGTGCAGTGTTGCATTCATTTAAAATTTAGTCGTGAGCTGTTTCCAGATATGGGCTGCGTTGCCAAAATGGCTAGTGCATAAACTAGATCTAACTTGGTCAGTAAGTCGCAATGAAGGTTTGCGAAATAATACAAAATTACTTGCGTAAATATACACAGAAATGTTATGATTGTTGAATTGCAGAAATGTAATATCGTAACATAAAAATCATTGACAGTGATTCTCGTATCAAAGTTCATTGCACAGTTTCGATGAAGTGAAAAAAAGACGCGGTCAGCGGTTTTATTTTATGCTACGTTTATATTTTGTTTTTTTTTCAGACTAAAAAAAAAAAAAACAAAAAATAAAAAGGAGTTTATAATAATTATTATTGTCATGATAATCTATCGTTATACCGTACCGTAATTATTTAATTATATAGCAAACATATGTATGAATACCTATCTAATATTATACTAAGAACAATATATTTATATATTTCCGGATGCTTTACGTAATTTACATTATTTTACATATGAATTTTTGCCAAGACGAGATCAATTAGCATAAATAATTTGCTCTTCGTAACAATTTCGAAGTTATATTCATAATTCGTATAATTGTATAATAGCGATACGAAACGTAGTATTTCAAACAACTTATGGCAGATTTCAAGCTATTTTGGTCCACATTTGAACTTAGCCTTTCCGCACGGTAAAAATACGATCTTACTGAGAACAGAACATAATCTAGATATGTATGTATGTAGAACAGAATCTTAGTGGGGGAAAAGGAATTGTTAGTAATGGGAACTAATGGGTAGCAAGTCCTACCAGGTCGACCTTCACGTGGTTTACCCTGGATACCATTGTGAATACTTCTTGCATTCGTCGCGATGGGCTAATTGACCTGCTTTCATGCTCATCTATCATCCCTCACTGGTGCTCCGCCAGCGTATACCGATAGCGCAGGCGGGGTTATTATTTCATTATCATCCATTGAAAAAAAAACAGAATCTTAGAGAGGCATGGGCATCAGTATCGATCTGATATCTACCTATATATTATGTACCTCTGGATATTGATGTTGGAAAAACATCATCACCCATTTCAATATCGGTTATCCTGTTTATATATTTAATATTATATTTCCACTCAGGGTTTGCTGGAAGAGAACTCTTACAGAGTTAAGCTCGCCTGTTGTACATCTTTATTTAATATATGTTTGTAATTTTTGTGTACAATAAAGAATAAATAAATAAATAAATATCCTGTAGGGATATATAGATAATTAAGTTTCAATATATAAATATCGCTGCATATTACAACACCCTTACTGGCCACCATCCGCTTTATAAATATGTTAAAAACGTTGAAACCGCTAACAAGCAGTCAATACTTACAAAATCTCAATCGGAAATCAACTTTAAATGTGACAACAATTCAAGAAATGTGGAACTCGCCTTTGTTTTGAATTTTTTACTAAATATCCCGACGGTTATTTTTATATAATGTTTATTTTTACAAAAGCATTGAATTTAGAACGCAAAACAAATGCGAGGATTCGTTGAACGCTTTAATACGTAACGTAATCGCCATAAGCGAGATAAGAAACTTATAAAAGACGAATTGATGACGCAGCGTCAAGTAACTTTGGATTAGTCATCATTTATACCAGCAATAAACATAACTATTATATAATATGTGTATAAACGCATTGGAATCTACTATATACTATTATTTAACTTATTTAAAATTAAACTAAATTACCTGATAATATATAGGTATGGGATAGTCAAGACATAGTATTGGATGAACAGTAATCTTTCTTTCCCATCATAGCTACCTTAGAATAATCGAACCATCCTCCAATGGATAAAAGGCCTAAAAGGCGGGAAATAATAGGATCATAACCTCCCTTTGGAGCTAGGAATGGGAGCTGACAGGGTATTGTGCTAGGAATATAGGATATGATGACCACAACGCAGTCATCCACCTTGAAAACCATCGTAGTTAATTCCTAGTGAATTCATCATTTTTGATCCGATTTCATCCTTATCTATCTATCATCACTCACTGTTAACTCATCACATCGCATACTGATACTATAAGCGAGATTACCATTTCATTTTCATCACATTAATAGAAATTCCTCCACGTACGGATCTAGCAGATTTTAACGTGGGTTCACAAATGATCCATAGCTATACAAAAAAAAAGCTAAATCGGTAATCCAAATCTAATTTCTATTTTTTTATTATTTATTTTCTTGATAATTTTGAGTTAGAAAATAACGTTTCGTGTTTTGACTTTTTAATTATTTCGTCAATAATATTAAATTGTAAGATTAAATCAGCCGAAATGACGCCAAATTATAGTTTCAAACCGTTTGTACGACGAACGTAATCATCATAAAATTATATAATAACCTATTCAAAACAGCAAAAAGCAACAGAAAAAAGTTTATTTAAAGTTTATTACGACCTACCACCTATACTTTTTCTTTTACATTCTACTTAATAGATTTCGGAAAAGCAAGGCCGTTTGACAAAACTGCATATACGGCATAAATCTAGCGACTAATAGAGACATTCCGACGTCAGAGTAAGATTGTAGTTCTTATTCAGTGGGGATAAGGTTTAAATTGTAAGACAATATTTAACAATACAAAAGAATTGATTCCCGATTGTGTATACAAACAAATCGAAGGTCGGAGCCTTGACACATGCGAGGATCTGACCAAAATCAATCACAAT